AGAGTTTGAATGATCAACTCCAATTGTGATGACAAACATCAGATAGTGTTACACTAAATAACCAACTAAAAACATGAATACTCTGTATTTATGAGTGACTGATTCAAAGATGCACAGTAACAAATACCGGAAAAAAAACAAAGTCACTGAATCTTTTGGAATCTGTTTATTCACAAGAAACATCCAAACTGATTTACTAGAATGAATGGTGTCTTGAATTAAACTCCAAGGCTTATAATAATACAAAAGAATAAGATCATTATGTATCGATTGTCATTGATCACTATTTTTGCAAAGATAGTTTAGAACATATGTATTGTAAAAAAATAACATAAAAACATGACTGTAATTAAAAATATTTGTATTTTCTTTTAATGGAATCTAAGGTTAACTAATAATCACTGACATTTTTATTAATATATTTCCTCAAGACAATTATGTACTCATAGCAGATCAAGAACATCTCCAGAGTTTAATGGTGTTTGCTCACTCTTCTATGGTTTTGATCCGAATTCACAAACCAGCACTGCAACAGTAGCCACGCCCACCAGAGCAGAGAGAGCCAATTGGATCACAGCTTCAGTAAAACCACAACAGCGGGTGCAGTCTTATACGAGAAGAAATGGCCAGATTAATTATTAGAAATAAGTTTAATTTAATGTGTGAGCAATATACATAGTGTCACTGTCATAGATGTACCTGCACATGTGGGACAGAGTGTGTTGATGTCCAGATGTGTGGTCTGGTTGCTGACGGTATTGTTGATCACACAGCTGTAAGTGTTTTTATCCTGATATTCCACCTCCAGAGGTAGAGAGAGACTGATGCTGAGATCAGACGCACTGATGTTGGACAATACACTCATTCCTTTATACCAGGAGAGAGTCACATCACTCACATTCAACACTGATGAACACACCAGTGAACAATTTGATGATGATGATGATGATGAAGATAAGTATCTGCTGATGACAGGAACAGGCAGACGAGCTGGGAAAAAAAAGAGAGCTCTTATTTACAGCAAGAAAGTTGTCATTTTATTGGTCTTTACTTGATGTGTTGAGTGCGAGTTTATTGTAATGTCGGTCAGAGAGAGTCTCTCTCAACATCTTTAAATGATTCATGCTAAACTGGAATTAAAGTATAACTGTCACACAAAATTCATTGCATAGAAATGTACAGTAGAGAAATTTCTACAATGTCATTTCTATAACTGTCACTGACACAGAACATTATAAATGACATTATCATTAGACATGCAGGAAATGCATGACATTTTGACAAAAGACAAGATTGACAATGATGACGTACAGACATTGTTAGTAATTATTGAAAGTGTGAAAAGTGTTTTAACTCACCATAGACGGTAAGATTGAATGTGTTGAGCGGCTTCTCTGATCTGGTGCTGGATACTCTATAAAGTCCAGAGTCTGTGGTTCTGGTGTTTGTGATGGTCAGAGATCCAGTCTGATGATCCAGTTTCAGTCTGTCTCTGAATCTCTCATCAGGAAAATCTATCTTATAGTTTTCTTTGGTAGCTATGAGATTGTCGTTGTGTCCAGTTCTCCACATTATCAGTTCATCTGTCTGTATTTCAGTATCAGTGTTTAGAGTGACAGATTCTCCCTCAGTCACTGACACTGACTTCACGGCATCAACACCAAACACTCCTGAACAACAAACAGAAACGGTTTCTCAAAAAGAAGCTTTTAGCCATATTTAAACTATTTGAACTAAACTATTAACCATTTGTCAAGGCAAATCAAATTTTCAAAGCACTCATTTCAATGTATAATTCTATAATTTGTAATATTTAAAACCTTTCACATTGGAAGGGAAAATCGGCAACGTTCAGAACAGCAATATGAACTCAAAAATATTTTAGTCTAATGAAACATACATTTAATGGGAAATAAAATATTACGAGCAGAGGAATGTGTGGACAAATAATATAAACTGAAGTAAAAAGCCATAAAAATACTTACCATACAGACTCCATGAACACACACAGAAGAAAATAAACACCTCAGACATTTTGTTTTGTTTTTTCAGAATTTTGCCAAAGAGTTTCGCTACAGAAATATTATGATAACCAGTTCTGGCGCTCATGAAAGTGTAGCTGAACGTGCAGCTGGTGTAGAAGTGGTTTCGTGAAACTGCACTGTCAATAAACTCCTGCAGTAGCTCCGCCCACACAGACTGAACGTGACCAGAGAAGAGCGATATGGTTCAAATGTTCACATTTTCTATTCTTAAAACCATCATGAATCTCTAGGCAAGAGGTTCTAATGAAACGACCATATTAAACTGAGTGTGTGAGATAGACATAAAGATCGATGTACAGTCAGTGGGGCCATAGGAAATAAAGGAAATAGCATGAAGCTAACTGCTTGTCTGAAGTCAAAATAGAGTCAGATATCACAGAAGTTAAATAAAGGAGCTGCTCTATAAACTTACAGAAGAAACCAACACAGATATGTAGGCTACACACAATATCACAGGAGGGCCGTGTGAAATCTGTTGGTTCTGTATTTGATAACTGATGTACAAAATCAGATAGAGTTTGCACTTTAAACAACCATCTGACTGAATATGTTGACCGTAAAAACGAATTAGTCCATAATTATAATAATTATTTAGATGTCTCTCCATCTACAAATATCTACTGACGCTCCATCTAGTGGCTGTAAGAATAATCTCTTTTGATGACGCCTAGCATGACAAATCCGGAGAATGAATGAGAAAAACAACACAATCAGAACAGATATAAGATAAAATAATATCAGACATGTTTAAAATGAACACAAGAAACTTACTTTTGCTATGGTTAAATAAATGTTCAGTAATTTCTTCAATATAGGCTATACATTTTTTCAAATTCTATAGTGTATGGCAACTAGAAAATTCGTCCGCTAACCTCCATAATGTGCCGTGTTTCAAATCAATGCCAGTTGGAACTCCTAATCAAATGATAACATTAATTACTGCCAGGTGGTGTTTAATTAATTGAATTAACGAGATGAATGCATATTAGAGTGTGAAGAGTGGCTTGATAAGGGTTAGTCTTGGGTGATCTGTCCTCATGGCTGTGAGGGAGATTTGTGTTTGGAAGAAGCTCATTTTCACCCTTTTTCTCTTTGCTGTTGATGGACTTAAAGAACCAGGTAAGTACCAGCTTTGAAGTAAACAGAAGCATTCTGTTTTTGTGTGGAAGTTGTTTACTAAACTTTACAGATGGTGAAAATAAGCTTTGTGAACCATTGAAGCTTTCCTTTAACACCATTACTACTCTTGGTTTGTTTGCCATCCAGTGATCAAATGGATGATGGTCATGTGTTTTTTTTTTTTGTTTCCCCTTTCCTAACCTTGATCATTCCTAACAGATATCCGTGACTCGTTTTGATGAGACTCCAATTGTGAACAAAGTGACAGCGTCGATATAGCTCCAGCAGTGCAGATTCTGGTCTACAGCGTTCTTCCCAGTGAGAATGTTGCTGTGCTCTCTTACCACTCCAGCGTGGACCTCGGCCATTCGGCCTCCCTCTGTTGGACATTACATCTTCTTCGCCATGGACTTGCTGCCCTACGGCTCTCCACCTCTTTCGCCTTTGACTAGCTCCGCCCTCCCTCAGGTTCCACCTCCATCTATGGTTGCTGCAGCTCAGCCTCTAACCTCAGGATCGCTGCTTCCACTTCAGGGGGTCGGCGCTGTGGCCTAGTCGCGGTCGCCTAGGTCTTTGTGTCTCACTGCCTCATCGCTTCTCTGGCTACGTGGTGTGCTCCACCTCCATCACCTCTGGTAAGCCCCTTGGTAGTGTTGGGACTCTTCACTCCATGGCTACTCCATTCTGCGACGCCACCGTGGGATGCAGTCCTGACTGTGGGCTGAGTCTCCATCTGCCCTTCCCTGCTCAAGGCCATCCCCCCTGGCTGTCACCACCATCTGCACCAACCTTTTTCTTGGTTCTCTTCGGCTTTTTATTGTCCTCCAGCTAACTGAATATGATCTTTTAATGTGACGGGTGGAAGTAAGGCCGTCCGCCCGCCCAAGCCGTCCGCCCGCCCAAGCCGTCCGTCCGTCCGCCCGCCCAAGCCGTCCGTCCGCCCGCCCAAGCCGTCCGTCCGCCCGCCCAAGCCGTCCGTCCGCCCGCCCAAGCCGTCCGTCCGCCCGCCCAAGCCGTCCGTCCGCCCGCCCAAGCCGTCCGTCCGCCCGCCCAAGCCGTCCGTCCGCCCGCCCAAGCCGTCCGTCCGCCCGCCCAAGCCGTCCGTCCGCCCGCCCAAGCCGTCCGTCCGCCCGCCCAAGCCGTCCGTCCGTCCGCCCGCCCAAGCCGTCCGTCCGTCCGCCCGCCCAAGCCGTCCGTCCGTCCGCCCGCCCAAGCCGTCCGTCCGTCCGCCCGCCCAAGCCGTCCGCCCGCCCAAGCCGTCCGCCCGCCCGTCCGTCCGCCCGCCCAAGCCGCCCGCCCGCCCAAGCCGTCCGTCCGCCCGCCCGCCCGCCCAAGCCGTCCGCCCGCCCGTCAGTCCACAGTCAGGACTGCTTCCCACGGCGGCCATCCGTCCGTAGTTGGAGGAAAGGTTGGTGCAGGTGATGGTGACAGCCAGGGGGATGGCCTTGAGCAGGGAAAAGCTGACGGAGACCCAGCCCACAGTCAGGACTGCATCCCACGGTGGCGTCGCAGAATGGAGTAGCCATGGAGTGAAGAGTCCCAACATTACCAAGGGGATTACCGGAGGTGATGGAGGTGGAGCACAGCACGTACCCAGAGAAGCGATGAGGCAGTGAGACACAAAGACCTAGGCGACTGCGACTAGGCCGCGGTGTCGCAGAATGGAGTAGCCATGGAGTGAAGAATGCTGACACTAGTCTCCCAAGTCTTTGAGGTGAAAAAATACGTAAGTAAGTTGTTGTGTAAGGGCAGTTCAATGACAAATCTGAGGCCTTAATCTAAAGCGCTTTGTTTCTGGTTTAGTTTTGCCCAAGTTTGACATGACCGTAAACGCACCGCAGACCTACAGCATTGCAGTTATGGGACTAAAAGTTGAGTCTTGTGCCAAGTGAGTGATGCTTTATTTTCTTGTCTTGTGGTTGGTCAGTTCTTTATCTTCTTATGATGTTTCCCAGATATACATATGGCCAACCTTTCCTTTTGCCTGTGCTTCGACTTAATTGTGTCTTTGTTCTCCTACCAGATGAATGCCACTCTTACTGTTGATGCGTCAGTGTTTTTCAACACCAAATTTGAGGACCAAATGCAAGACGCATTTCTTGTAAATGTGAATTTTACTGAGGAGGGAACAGGTGAGCTATTAGCTGGTCTGAACCATGTACTCTTTATCATTTTTACAAGACATGCACTTTAAGCCACAAAGTTGATATTCTTCACTGTTTGTTTGGGCTTTCTCTCGCAGATGTAATGGTGTCAATCTGCAATGGTGTCCTTTACAAACAAAGCTGTATATCTCTTTGAGGGGAGCAACTGGCCCAACAAACTGCTGTTGAATCTAACCACAATCAAGAATGGACGGGCTGTGTGCTCCCTAAACACTGCTAATCTTAAGGCTGATCTGAATCTGGTGGTACGACTTGTATTTTGTAAAACTTAAGACTTTCTCTAACATGATACTGATTAAGTTTGATCTTCCCCAGGCGAGTGCTAATCCAGAGGTTTTTTATGGTTATTAATCGCCATACTTCACTACAGATACAAGGTTTGTACAGCTTCTCCTACCTGTTTCTCCAGACAACCCATTGTTTAGTGAACTGACTGTAGTGAAGCTCAATCAGCTGCTCAAATGTGGTGTTTCATTTCCAGTGACCGTGGAGTATTCATTTGTTGGAGAGGCTGGTAGCTACAGTGCTGACATAATCTATAGGGTGAGTGGACATAACTTTTGTTGTTAAGTTTGCTGGTCCGTTTGTTCCGCAACTTGCACACCTATGTCTTCTGTCAGGTTTTATCCAAAGGAGTGATTGTCCTCCATGGATTTCAGACAGTTAAAGCAAAGGCTGGTGATGCAGTCACAAGTGGCTCTGTGACGTTCCAGTTGTCTGTCAGCGTCGATATGGCTCCAGTAGTGCAGATTCTGGTCTACAGCGTTCTTCCCAGTGAGAATATAGTTGCTGGTAGTGTGCCGTTTGACACCGATCTGTATTTGCAGAATCAGGTACTGTATGATGTGGCTATTTTTCAATTTGGTAATGTTGGTGTATGTCCTACAGCGTGTTGGTCCTTGTTCCAGGTGTCTCTGCAGTTTTCTCCAGCTACGGCTGTTCCTGCGGACGGAAACGTTCTGATGGTTTGTGCTCAAGCAGCATCTCTGTGTGGCCTCAGTGCTGTAGATCAGAGCGTCCGGATCATGGAGCCAGGAAGACGTCTGAGTGAAGCACACAGACAGCCTTTCAGCAATCAGGTTTTTTGTTTGGGCATTTAATCTGAATATTTCAGTGTGTGGCACTTCTAATTAGAATGCCACTTCAGTTTACCCCAGTGTCTGAAGTACAAGGGCCTGAATTTTTATCGCAACTTCAGTGTCGGTACGTCTGTTAGTTTGATTCTTGTTCTAGAAATTGGTACATGATTTAAAGATAAAATGAAAAAAATGTAGGCTTTTAATATGACGGTCGGAAGTCCGTGCGTGCGTGCGTGCGTCGGTCGGTCCGTGCGTGCGTGCGTCCGTCTGTCCGTCCATCAGACACAAAGACCTAGGCGCCGCAGAATGGAGTAACCATGGAGTGAAGAGTCCCAGCACTAGTCTCCCAAGTCTTTGAGGTCCAAAAAATACGGTAAGTTGTGTCTCGATAGGGAAGTTCAATGACGGATCTGGGGCCTTAATCTAAAGCGCTTTGTTTCTGGTTTAGTTTTGCCCAAGTTTGACTTGACCGTAAACGCACCGCAGACCTACAGCGTTGCAATTATGGGACTGAAAGTTGAGTCTTGTGCCAAGTGAGTGATGCTTTATTTTCTTGTCTTGTGATTGGTCAGTTCTTTATCTTCTTATGATGTTTCCCAGATATACATATGGCCAACCTTTCCTTTTGCCTGTGCTTGACTTAATTGTGTCTTTGTTCTCCTACCAGATGAATGCCACTCTTACTGTTGATGCGTCAGTGTTTTTCAACACCAAATTTGAGGACCAAATGCGAGACACATTTCTTGTAAATGTGAATTTTACTGAGGAGGGAACAGGTGAGCTATTAGCTGATCTGAACCATGTACTCTTTATCATTTTTACAAGACATGCACTTTAAGCCACAAAGTTGATATTCTTCACTGTTTGTTTGGGCTTTCTCTCGCAGATGTAATGGTGTCAAAATCTGCAATGGTGTCCTTTACAAACAAAGCTGTATATCTCTTTGAGGGGAGCAACTGGCCCAACAAACTGCTGTTGAATCGAACCACAATCAAGAATGGACGGGCTGTGTGCTCCCTAAACACTGCTAATCTTAAGGCTGATCTGAATCTGGTGGTACGACTTGTATTTTGTAAAACTTAAGACTTTCTCTAACATGATACTGATTAAGTTTGATCTTCCCCAGGCGAGTGCTACTCCAGAGGTTTTTTATGGTTATAAATCGCCATACTTCACTACAGATACAAGGTTTGTACAGCTTCTCCTACCTGTTTCTCCAGACAACCCATTGTTTAGTGAACTGACTGTAGTGAAGCTCAATCAGCCGCTCAAATGTGGTGTTTCATTTCCAGTGACCGTGGAGTATTCATTTGTTGGAGAGGCTGGTAGCTACAGTGCTGACATAATCTATAGGGTGAGTGGACATAACTTTTGTTGTTAAGTTTGCTGGTCCGTTTGTTCCGCAACTTGCACACCTATGTCTTCTGTCAGGTTTTATCCAAAGGAGTGATTGTCCTCCATGGATTTCAGACGGTTAAAGCAAAGGCTGGTGATGCAGTCACAAGTGGCTCTACGACGTTCCAGTTGTCTGTCAGCGTCGATATGGCTCCAGTAGTGCAGATTCTGGTCTACAGCGTTCTTCCCAGTGAGAATATAGTTGCTGGTAGTGTGCCGTTTGACACCGATCTGTATTTGCAGAATCAGGTACTGTATGATGTGGCTATTTTTCAATTTGGTAATGTTGATGTATGTCCTACAGCGTGTTGGTCCTTGTTCCAGGTGTCTCTGCAGTTTTCTCCAGCTACGGCTGTTCCTGCGGACGGAAACGTTCTGATGGTTTCTGCTCAAGCAGCATCTCTGTGTGGCCTCAGTGCTGTAGATCAGAGCGTCCGGATCATGGAGCCAGGAAGACGTCTGAGTGAGGCACACAGACAGCCTTTCAGCAATCAGGTTTTTTGTTTGGGCATTTAATCTGAATATTTCAGTGTGTGGCACTTCTAATTAGAATGCCACTTCAGTTTACCCCAGTGTCTGAAGTACAAGGGCCTGAATTTTTATCGCAACTTCAGTGTCGGTACGTCTGTTAGTTTGATTCTTGCTCTAGAAATTGGTACATGACTTAAAGATAAAATGAAAAAATGTAGGCTTTTAATATGACGGTCGGAAGTCCGTCCGTGCGTGCTTGCGTGCGTCGGTCCGTGCGTGCGTGCGTCCGTCTGTCCGTCCATCAGACACAAAGACCTAGGCGCCGCAGAATGGAGTAACCATGGAGTGAAGAGTCCCAGCACTAGTCTCCCAAGTCTTTGAGGTCCAAAAAATACGGTAAGTTGTGTCTCGATAGGGAAGTTCAATGACGGATCTGGGGCCTTAATCTAAAGCGCTTTGTTTCTGGTTTAGTTTTGCCCAAGTTTGACGTGACCGTAAACGCACCGCAGACCTACAGCGTTGCAATTATGGGACTGAAAGTTGAGTCTTGTGCCAAGTGAGTGATGCTTTATTTTCTTGTCTTGTGGTTGGTCAGTTCTTTATCTTGTTATGATGTTTCCCAGATATACATATGGCCAACCTGTACCTGGTCAAGCCTTAGTGGAAGTGTGCTGTGATCCATTTCCATACATTCTGCTTCATAATTTGACCAGACTGTGCCTGACTCAAACTGCAAAGGTGTGTGACTCCTGCCTTACTGCTGAGGGTTTTTCCTTTTGCCTGTGGTTGACTTAATTGTGTCTTTGTTCTCCTACCAGATGAATGCCAAGGGCTATGGCTCTCTCACTGTTGATGTGTCAGTGTTTTTCAACACCAAATTTGAAGACCAAATGCAATACACATTTCTTGTAAATGTGAATGTTACTGAGGAGGGAACAGGTGAGCTATTGGCTGATCTGAACCATATACTCTATCATCTTTACAAGACATTCACTTTAAGCCACAAAGTTAATATTCTTCTCTGTTTGTTTGGACTTTCTCTCGCAGATGTAATGGTGTCAAAATCTGCAATGGTGTCCTTTACTAACAAAGCTGTATATCTCTTGGAGGGGAGCAACTGGCCCAACAAACCGCCGCGGCCAATGCCCTGTACTCGGACTTCTCCAAGGCGAAGAATTTATGCAGATCAGAGAGTTCTCTCCTCATGTCCATATACAGCAGCCACTGAGGGCAGGCCAGTTCTGCCTAGAGATCAAGACGATCCAACTCAGCCCATGAGGGCACTGCCTGTAGATTCACGAGGTGACCTTCTGCATTCTCATTCTGTCAGTCACAAAGAGATTGATTATCTCACTGACAACCTAGGAGACCTGAGACTACCAGGCTCAGCAACTCCGCTAACTTCAAGTCATCCTTTCTCTTCTTATGAACCAACTCAATCCCAACACAAGCTAGCCCATCAAGAAGATGCTACATATCCTCAACCTGGTATTAGGCACATAGATAGACCACGTGGTTACTACAAAACAGACCACAGAGGCCATAACACTATGTCCACTGACCAAAGAGGTCGCAACCAATATCCTGCAGCCGCAGTTTATGCCTCAGGACTACAGTCAAGAGACAGCAGCTACATATGGGACTTATAAAGATCATAGTCTGAACTGCAAACCGGTCCGCTATTTCCCTTCCACTGAACTATATGGTTATCAGCAACCTTATCATGGGATTCCAGCTACAAGTCCAGTCTATTGAGATTAGAGACTTACTTCAAGGGATACATTAGCTCACCGTGCACATGAGAGACACTCAGAAAGCTATGGTCAATCAGCTCCTAATCCGGCAAACAAATCAAGCTTCTTGACCCCACGACAGTACGCAGATTACGCTCAGCCTGAGACATATCAGCCATACCACCCAGTGCGCCCTCCTTGTCTTCCATATCCTCATGTAGAGCCCACCTACAGAGGTCCTATTCCCACCATCCCAGAGAGTTTGCACGACTCAAAATTGCACTGGAGAATTTGCTACCTGCTGAGGCTACAGAACGTTTCAAGTACCAAATACTCATTGATCATCTGAAACAGGAGAATGCCTTGCTCACTGCAGACTCGTACGTCAACGGCAGGTACCCATATGCCAACACCATGAGGTCTCTAACTGCACTTTATGGTCAACCACATCAACTCGCACTACAAAGAATTGGAGAATTGATGGATGGCCCAAAAATCAGGAGTGGTGACACTAAATCTTTTAGACTGTTTGCCCTCAAAGTGCGTGCATTAGTTGGAATGCTGGGCCAACTTGGAGCTAAAGGATGGACAGAGCTCAAATGTGGGTCACATGTTTAACGTCTCCTTGCCAAATTGCCTCATGATCTTAAAGCAAACTTCAGAAGGTTCGTTAACCCCATTCAGAACCCAGTTCCAACACTGATAGAACTCAGCGATTGGCTAGAATATGAGCTCAGAATACAAGAGGATGAGTCACAATACGTTTGTAATGTAAGCAGAGCCTACTCTCAGCCACAGAGAGAACAGCAAAGGAATTGCAAGCCGGTTCAACGATTTGCTACTGTCTTGCTTGGTGGCGAACAGAGTAAACCAGCAAGTGTTACAAGAGTCAAGAAGGAAAAACCAACAAAGTACTACCTCTTCTGCAACTGTGTGCAGCATTACTTCAATCAGTGCGCTACTTTCAAACTGCTGAATCAAGATCAAGTGGAGTCTTGGCTCAAGTCAAATCAGAAGTGCTTTAGGTGTGGCTGTGAGCACCAGATCTCACAATGTAATCTTAAAGCCAAATGCAAAGAATGTGAAAAGAGACATTTAAAAATACTGCATGACTTCAATGCCAAAGGTAAACATGAAACACAAGCTTCAGCAGAAAAAAGTTGTCTTGTGAACTCAGAAGTAGAGACTTTGTATCTGGACAGACCAACTGCAGGCAGCAAAGTTTTTTTCAAGGTCAGCCGAGTGATTTTGAGAAATGGAGAGAAGGAACTTGACGCATGCGCTATATTGGATGACGGATCAGAGAGGACAATGTTACTGTATGAATCAGCACAGCAACTTGATCTTCAAGGACTTCCTGAAGATATAGCCATTGGGCGGCTGTTTCATTCTCAGTACCTTCTGCATTTCAGCCAAACAAATCCTTCACCATTGAAAGAGCTTTTACAGCCAAAGAACTGAGCCTCGCAAAACACACTTACCCTGTTAAGTTTCTGCAGAAGAAATACAGATATCTGCAAGGTCTGCCCATTCCCTCATTCCAGCAGGCTCAACCACTCTTACTCATTGGCTCAGATTATCCACATTTAATCACAGCTACAGAGAAAAAAAAAAATCATTGTAAAATTGTCCTAGAATATGTGTTTTGGGAAAGATTTGCCTCTGAGTTAAGTGGAGGGAAAATGTTGTATGTTAAGGGTGGTCTTGGGTTTGTCCAGTAGGGGGCGGTGGCACACTGTGTTGTGGGCTGGTGCACTGTTAAAAGCAGAGAAGAACGCGCATGTGGGCGCTTGTATTTGTGTGTGTGGCTGGCTACAGAGATGAGTCCTAATAAAAAGAGAGCATCCTGAAGTTCCTGTTTTCTCTGAGTTTTTCTTTGGTATCTACGATACAACAGTTGCTCTGTGGAATTTCATTATGGTTGTAAGGAGCAGAAAACCAGTTATTTTAACAGCCAAAGGACAGTGAGAGATTTGACTGGGCCAAACATCTGAAGATCAGTAGGCCTATGTCAGGAATCTCATGCGGGTTCAACAGCCCTGAATATAAATATGCACTAAAATAGTCATGATGAGAGATAAAGATCAATAAGAGCAGGTTAGAAAATAAACTGAAGATCGGACTAATGTTGACGCATTTATTTTTGTGACAGCGCTGCTCAGGTCTTTTTCTCATTTCACACTCCGTGTTTTATTCTGAATCTTCTCAGTGTTTTTAATGGCAACATCCACGTCCATGACTCATTTAAGTTGTCACCTTTTAAAATACATATTGCATCTATAGTTTTCTTGTGAATAGCCTAGTAGTGTCTCTTGTACATTCTCGATTTAAGTGTCCACTAAATGAGTAAATGTAGAATCCAGAAGCAATATAAACTAAAGTGATTTTTTGTGATTTTTTTTTTTCATTAAATAAAATAATGCAGTCTGAAAACACCACATTCTCAAGTGGTTTTTTATCACTTTTTATATTAGATTTCACTAGTCATGCAGCAAACTTTACAATTAAAAACTGTTCATGGATATTTGATCTAACAGACTAAACATGAAAAAATAAATAAATAAATAAATAAACACAGTTGAGTGATGGTGCTGTGCTTGCATGACAGTCTTTTTCCTGATCAAGAATGAGGCCAAACAATTTAAAGATTATATGTTTATTTTGATATGGTAAAAAAAGAGGCATAAAGTAACAAAAATAGCATGAAATATTCTGCAAGTACATTTTTGAACATCTCTTTTATGAACTTTTACACTAAAGATTTATTACAATAAAATATCACAGCGAGAGAGAGAGAGAGAGAGATACTACTTTATATTAACAGACTTTACTACCTTTTCTGGGAATGACATGAGGGTGCATAATTTATACAGACGATTAAGAATTTAGATAATGATTTAAATAATGTTTTGGGGTGAACTGTCCATTTAATTGATAGTTAACATTAAGCTAAATGCAGTATTAATCCACTTTTTTAAATCAGTTTCTCTAAAAAAAAAGCGTTTCTCTCAAAATGCTTTTTTTTTTTGCTCTCAATGCAAAGCTAATATAATGCACATTCATTCATGAACATAAGAGCTATTTTTGTTTAATCTTCAGTGATGCTGAACTTAATCAGCCAGCTACCCATCAAGTTGTGTGATAACTGAATAAATGGTGTAATGATTCAGTTCGACTCCCAAGACAAGACAATGCTCACCCGACTGGCCAATAGGAACGTGGCCCCGCCCATGACACAATTTTCACAGAGAAAGGAAAACCACTATGGGAAAACCCTGACACAAGAGCAAGAAATTGCAGCGAGAGCAAAGAAACACCTTTTTTTAGAGAAAATGTTTCACACTGATAGTAAAAAAATATAAATTTGATAATTTTTTTTAATCAATAGATTTTTTTTTTCTTGTATGTAATATGACACAATCATAGCTCCACATGCTTTAGGCTGAATT